CTTTATTAATGGCTGTGTTCTTAGGCAAAATTATGAGTGAGCCCACTCCCTTGGCTGAGAAGCAACCCCACACATGAATGGTCTCAGGAAGCTTTACTGTTGGCATGACACAGGACTGATGGTAGCGCTGACCATTTCTTCTCCAAAACAAGTTTTTTTTTTCCGGATGCCCCAAACAATTGGAAAGGGGATTCAGCAGAGAAAAGGACCCCAGTTCCCAGCACTCCAATTCCTGTACCTTTTGCAGAATATCAGTCTGTCCCTGCTGTTTTTCCTGGAGAGAAGTGGCTTTTTTGGTGCTCTTCTTGAGACCAGGCCATTCACCAAAAGTCTTTACCTCACTGTGCATGCAGATGCACTCACACCTGCCTGCTGCCATTCCTGAGCAAACTCTGCACTGGTAGTGACCCGATCGTGCAACTGAATCAACTTTAGGAGACAGTCTGGGTGCTTTCTGAACAACTGAACTTCTCTCCTTGAAGTTCTTGATGATGTAATGGTTGATTTAGGTGCAATATTAGCAGCAGCAATATACTTGCCTGTGAATCACTTTTTGTGCAAAGCAATTATGACTTAGGCCAAACTCCAGCTCACACTGCAGTTACACAAGCAGTTACAGCAACAGTTTTGTTTTTCTTTTGGGATAAAGATTTTACATGAATAAATAAAAGATGATCATTGCAAGCATCTTGGCAGTGATAAATGGTTTGTCTCAACACTTTACTTGCTACATTTGCAGGAAAGCTTATTCTTTTGAAAAATACCTTTAAAAAAGACTTACTGGTCAGATCACCAGGTGAAATAAAGGAAAAAAGCCTAAAAAAGAAAATGAATGTTGCCATCATCATCTAAAAATTGGCAAACTGCAATATAATAAATGTCTGCTATTGGATTTAATGCTGCTTTAAATTGCAGCATTTATGACTGTTTAATGTTATATTTTGACACATAACACATTGAGATAAATATAAAAAATATTTATTTTTATGAAGTACAGAACAATAACCATTAAAAAGAGAACTTGAGAGAAGAGAACTTTCATACAAGAAAATTATTAAAAAAATAAATATATAAATAAGTTGGTAATCAATCTGATGCATCTCTTTTGCTGCCTAACAGCTCTTCTTTATTTGATTTCAGAAAATCACACTGTTGGTGTGTATGGGTATGGTGGTGGTGAAGGAATATGACACTGATGACAATAATAAAAATATTGAGCGCATTAAAATTATGCATGAGCACAATTAGGGATTGGGTATAAGTTCCCAAAAACAGCCTCCAACACAAATGATGGTAACAGGTGTCTTCCCTAAAGTCATCAAAGACTTGATAGGAAAATGGTATGATATCCTGTTTAGAACAGTAAATAGTGAAAAAGAATCGGAAGAATCCACGAGTCAGGACTCAGGATATTTCCTTCATATAATTTATCTGTACTGAAAAGGGAAATTTTTAAACTTAGGTCTTAGCTTTTGTATTTCATAAAATATTGAGAATTTTGATTAAAGTTATGTGTTTAGTTGCAAGAATCTGACAGTATTGCATAAGGGTAAAAATAATAATAATGTAAAGGGTAACAATAATAATATCCTTCCTTAATAAAATTGTGACAATCTGTTCATTCTGTGAATAATTTAAATCATAATATCAGGGCAATTCAGTAGGAGTGTCTATGGCACTCTTTGGAACTCCTTTGTGACTCCAAATGGCAAAAGTTGGTACAGGTGACAGATTCATGTACCTGTTGGAAATGGATACATGATCTTAGGACAAGCACTATATACAGAGTCACACTGAGACCAGAGTGTCTATATCAGGGGCGGACTGACAACTCATGGGGCCCCTGGCAATAGGGAATCATGGGGCCCCTGTGTCCTTGCCCACACTCAAACCACACCCAAAAAGCCTATGAAAGGTACCAGGGGCATCTCATGGGGCCCCCTACTGACCCCGGTCCCTCGGGCAGTGCCCGAGTTCTCGAATGGTCAGTCTGCCCCTGGTCTATATCGACACTCCTCAGATAGCATCACACATATGAAGGAGTCATTATGATGACACTATGGGGAAGATTTACTAACATTGGTGCACACAGTATCTGGTGCAGCTGTTCATTGTAACAAATCAGCTACTAGGTTTTATTATCAAAGCTTAAATGAACAAGCAGAAGTTAGAAGTTGATTGGGCACTATGCACAGCTGCGCCAGATTCTGTGTGCACCAGTATTAGTATATCTCCCCTTATGACTGGTGTGATGGTGATCAGGGACATTTTTACCGGTGTGACATTGATTAGAGACACTGGCACTATTGTGGTAGTGATCAGAGACAATGCTTGGTGGACCTGACATACAGTGACATCACAGCAGCCTACCATTTTACATGATCACCAAAACAGCAGTACAATGTCCCCCAAAAAATCTGATCACCCCCCCCCCCCGCCACTTACCCCAGTATAGTGTCACCATGGTTATATAGCACTTGCTCTGGTGACAGTATGAAAAAAAATTAAAAACTTTATGTACTGTCACCAGAGCAATGCAGTAGCACCATTGAGACACTGTACTGCTGTGGAGAGGGGGAATCTGGCTTTTTTTCAACCACTTTCTTACCAGCCACATTTACCCCCTTCCTGCCCAAGCCAAATTTCAGCTTTCAGCGCTGTTGCACTTTGAATGACAATTCCCGGTCATGCAACACTGTGCCCAAACTAAATTTTTATAATTTTTTTGAGACAAATAGAGCTTTCTTTTAGTGGTATTTACTCACCATTGGGTTTTTTTTTTGCTAAACAAAAAATAAAGCAAAAATGTTGAAAAAAAAAGGTTTTCTTAGCTTCTGTTATAAAGTTTTGTAAATAAGTGATTTTTATCCTTTACTGATGTGCGCTGATGAGACTGCACTGATGGGCACTGATAGGCTGCACTGATGAGCACTGATGAGAAGGCACTGATGAAGCTGCACCGATATGCGGCACTGATGACCATTGATAGGTGGCACTGATGGTCATTGATAGGTGGCACTGATGAGCATTGACAGCCAGCATAGATGGGCCCTGATAGCCAACACTGATGGACACTGATAGCCAGTACTGATGAGGCCCTGATAGCCAGCACTGATGTCAGCATGAGGAGAGGACTGAAAAAAAAATATTGCGGAATGGTAAAGTGCAACACATAAAAGTGCAAAAAAACATGAGTAACTGCGAAATCTAAAAATCAAACAATATGGTAAAGTGCATCATGAATGTAAAGAGCTGAGTGAAACAGAAAAGTGCATCAAGTAAAAGCATGAAAATATCAGCTAAACAGCTCAAAAAGGAAATGCCAAACAATAAAGTGTATCACGAGCAGAATCTAAATACAATAATGTCTGTGGTGATCCATGAAGTAAAGTGCAGTAGTAAATGATGTTACAAAAAAAAATATAAAATCTGAGATATATAAATCAATGTCCGTGGTTAAACGTGCTATTTATATAGTCAAATATCCAGAAATGGAAGCAATTGTCCATAAAACCATAAGGTGCAGTAAAATTAAGGTGCAGAGTGATGATCACACAAAAGAATCCACCACCTCTCTCGGAGGTACACTCACCAGATGAAAACAGGTAACAGGCAATCAAGCATTAAACATCTGAGAATGGAAGGCGGCCAAAGGGTTAAACCGGACCACATTCATCCTGGGCACTCGGATGGGAAGTCAGCCCTTGTCCTAGAGGGAATAGCTCACCACAGGAACCAATAAAGTTGCATATAGTGTAGTATTTATTGGAACATTAAAAAGTATCCACGTGGAGACAGAAATCAAAAAGCATAAAAAGTATACCAAGATGGCCACCACTTTACCATTCTGCAATATTTTTTTTTTTTTTAGCCCTACACTTCCTTACATATACTTTTGTAGTAGATTGTTACCTTCACCTTGTGTGCTAGCTGCTCCCCAGATATCGCCATCACTCATCTATATATTAGATTCTGTTATATGAGGAGAGGACTGCCGATAACCGGCATTTCCTATTTATACTGTGGTCAACTGTGATTGGACACAGCTGATCATATGGTAAAAGGCAGCACTGATTGCCCCTTTACCTGGACATGTGATCAGCTGTGTTCGAAGGACACAGCGATCACAACTTGTGCACAGTGCGTGCCCCAGGGGGCATGTGGGGGTGTGGTTCTAGGAGGACATCAATGGACATCCTCCCAGAACTAGCTTACTGCGCTGTAGCCGTATTTTGTCTATAGCATGGTCGGGAACTGGTTAAACTGTGTCAGCATACACAGTCATGATGAACATCAGTTTCCTATCATTTATGCAGCCTTTGTTTACTATTGTGATTGGTCAGAGCAATCACATAATACAAGGCCTGTACCATGTGATCACTCTAAGCAAACATATCAATCAGAGTAATAAAAGCTGGATGAATTAAACCCTTTGTTTACTACTACTACTTTGATCACTGTGATTAGTTACAGTGATCACATGGTACAGAGCTAATAACACTGGCCCTGTATCCCAATCTGTGATCTGCTGTGTCTGAGGGATACAGCAATCACAGATCATGCCACTGCATGGCTTTAGGACTATGCACAAGAGGCAAGAATATGAGAACATACTGGTACATCCTCCCAGATTGCCAAATTTATTGGCTCTAAACTTTGTGACCTTTTCTTTCTAGCAGTATTATTCATAAGCTGTAAAAAATCAAGTCTGTCTTCTTTCAACTATCAGTAGGTCCAAAAAGATTTTGCATATGCATGAGAGTCATTCATATGTATGGATAAAATAAATACAAACATACATACATAATTAGCCTCTTTTATGTGGAGATTAGCATATTTTCCTCTAAAACAGCGGTTCTCAAGCTGGGGGTCGAATAACCCTTTCACAGGGGTCGCCTAAGACCATCGAAAAAAACATATTTCTGATGGTCTTAGGAACCAAGACACCTCTCCTCTATCCGTTTCTAGGCGGGTCCGCCTCCATGCAGATATGCCCACATTTCCCTGGACCGTGATGTGTGGGCGGGATGACATGCCCTGTCATCTGGCCACACCCCCGGGATCACTCAACAGTTCCGCCTCCTCACCGGTGATTGGCTGTCGGAACTGTAGCTCAGGAGAGGCACACAGGCGGCCATTCACCAGCGAGGAGGTGGAGCTTGGAGAGGAGGAGCCAAGTGGCAGCGTGAACATCAAAGAAGATTGAGTGAGGGAGTGGCCGGAGAAGGAAGACAACTGACCGGTAAGTGTCTGTACCGTGCAGATGGTGCTGCTGCAGCCAGATATGCTGGCTGTATATGGGAGCAGGAGGGAGCGAGCCCAGACTGGAGCAAGGTTCAGCAAGGTAAGTATCATTGGTGTCAGTGGGAGGAATTGTGCCCTATCATTGGTGTCACTAATACCAATGATGGGACACTATTCCTCCCACTGACACCAATGATGGGGCACTATTTCCCCCCACTGACACCAACGATGGGGCACTATTCCTCCCCCCACTGACACCAACGATGGGGCACTATTCCTCCCCCCACTGACACCAACGATGGGGCACTATTCCTCCCCCCACTGACACCAACGATGGGGCACTAAACAAAATTATAAGACTTTTCTTTTTAACAGAAAAAAATCAAAATCAAAATAAATATATCAACACATAAAACAGCACAAAAAAGTGTCCAAAATATCAAAAATAGTCCCCACAAGTGTAGACAATTGTTCTCTTTCTTCTTTCATCAAAAATTTCCTTCTCAACAACCGCAAATCCTGATGACAATACACCTCAAAAAGAAAAAGCTCGACATAGTGTCATACCTTTTAAATAATTAAAACACACGTGCCACTCACTGTGCAACATGCAAAAAATCTATATAAATGTGTATACTCTATAAGCGAGTATCTATACACATGCAAATATTCTTTTGTGTACCTAAAATAAATATATAGATTTTTGCATGTTGCACAGTGAGTGGCACGTGTGTTTTAATTATTTAAAAGGTATGACACTATGTCAAGCTTTTTCTTTTTGAGGTGTATTGTCATCAGGATTTGCGGTTGTTGAGAAGGAAATTTTTGATGAAAGAAGAAAGAGAACAATTGTCTACACTTGTGGGGACTATTTTTGATATTTTGGACACTTTTTTGTGCTGTTTTATGTGTTGATATATTTATTTTGATTTTGATTTTTTTCTGTTAAAAAGAAAAGTCTTATAATTTTGTTTATTTGGCCTTCAAGGGTGGAGGTGGATAACTTTTCTGGGATATTATATGGGGATTTTTGCTGTGTATATTAATATAACGATGGGGCACTATTCCTCCCCCCCCACTGACACCAACGATGGGGCACTATTCCTCCCCCCACTGACACCAATGATGAGGCACTATTCCCCCCCACTGACACCAATGATGGGGCACTATTCCCCTCCACACTGACATCAATGAAGGGGCACTATTTACCCCCCCCCCACTGACACCAATGATGGGCACTATTCCTCCCACACTGACACCAATGATGGGGCACTATTCCTCCCACTGATACCAATTATGGGGCACTATTCCTCCCACTGACACCAACGATGTGAGACTATTCCTCCCACCGATACCAATGATGTGGCACTACTCCTCCCACTGCCAAATTACAGTTATGAAGTAGCAACGAAAATAATTTTATGGTTGGGGGTCACCACAACATGAGGAACTGTATTAAAGGGTCGAGGCATTGGAAATGTTGAGAACCACTGCTCTAGAATCAGAGTTTCATTTTACATTTGCAATGACTTTAAAGTGAACAACTTTGGACCAGGTTTACTATATAAACCTTTTCTGTATTTATACACGGTGATCAAACACCCCTTAAATGTCTCTTCTAAAGAAAGAATAAAATCATTTCTGTTAATACTTCCTCATAGCTAAGGTTGTCCATGTTCTTTTATAGTTTAGTAGATAGATAGATAGATAGATAGATAGAGAGATAGATAGATAGATAGATAGATAGATAGATAGATAGATAGATAGAGAGAGAGAGAGAGAGAGAGAGATTATCTGTGTGGATTATGTGTGTGTTTATAAACCTGTTAACAAATTATATAATTTATGAAATTAATAAACTTCCAAGAAACAATAATTTTAAAAATGTTTTAACTCTGTCATAAAAAGTATGTTAAACTATTAAAAATATCAAATCAAATATTTTATTAAATTTAATTTTACCCACATTTACAATTCTCATATTTTAATAATTGTTTTTTTTTATAGTCATGGCCAAGATTATGTTTTAAACCTACGAAAAGGATTTCATTAGATAGATGAAATTATGAAAAGAAAAAAAACTAAATTTACATCATTGCAGGTTATACCCAAATATGTTTTGATGATGACAAGACATACGTATAACATTGGGAATTGGTGAAGCTGCTTTCAATGACATGAAATGTGTTAAATTAACCTTCCATTTGGCAGAAATGAAACTTATGTGATCTCACTTTGATTCTTTCTTCATCTCAAGGGGACCTCAGAGTGAGAATCTCAGAGAGAATCAATAATCATATTTCTACCTGTTTTGTGCTAATGCATCAGACAGCAGTGACGGGCACACCAAGTATAATCAAAAGCTAAAAATAGTTCAGCATCTGTGTATAAAACACAAGCTGAGTCATTCTGGTCCTAAATATAGATAAGATCTCTGAAGGCAATCTGGTTAAGTAGCTTTGAAAGCAACAGACACCTGCATTGTCTAATTTACAATAAAGCATTCATGGTGCAAAAACAAATATCTTATATATTATTAGTTTTAAATGTGTGCTGCAAGAAATGTCCCAGTTTTGTAACACAACACTTTAAATAACTGTTTCGATTATCGGAGTGAACATTTGCCTAATAGAAAAGAAAATGTTTTTCATCATAGTATAAAAATAACCTTTTCTAGAGAAAAGGTATTTTTACGGACAAATTTACAGAACTTAATGTGACATTAACAAAACATTTACTGTGGATGAATCAATCACTGCCAAGCTGTGTTCGAGGTAGATACACCTTCATCGAATGGTGAATGTCACATTCAATACTTTATAAATTTGCCCCTTACTGTTTATTGGGTCCAGATGGAAAAATCAAATGTGAGTGATCTACAGTACTGTGTCACAGATGCTGCGAGGGTTAACTCTGCATGCTTTTGTCGCTGTCTAAACCTTGGTATTCTGTCCTAATACTGGTTAGCCAACAGCTAGCTAACAAAACTGACTGAAGCAATGTTGTGTTTCATTCCAAAACTGAATTTTTTTCTGTGAATAGTTTTGTAAACCTGCAATACAAATACATAGACTGAAGCTACAATGTACTTGTAGACATATCTCTCACAAATGCATTCAATCAACACATTTCTTGCAAACAGCTACCTACAAATCACATTGAATACATTTAAATGTGATATAGATATATATGAGACTTTAACAAACACAATGAATGAACTTACAGGCATACAGTGTGTGTATCAAAGGGAGAATGGAGGAAACCTTCACATGTGTTTTTCAGTATGTTAAAAAGGCTGCAATGGTTTTTGGGAAATCTTTATTAAAAAAACACTCCTTATTCTTGTTGAAAATATTAATAAAATTGTGCACTTGCTGTGAATACCCAATAGATGGCACCATACTGAACACAATGCTGTGAATACAGAACACATGGGGAGTTTGTCATCAGAGGGCTGAACCAACCTCTAACCAATCTGTTGAGCAACTTCTGGAAGTGTCTTTGCCTGCAGGTTGCAGTATCAACCTGGGATCCTGGGCTGGAGCCCTCAGGGGCTTAGAGAGAGATCTAATTGATGTCTGAGGACCACACCCCAGAAAGAGCAGTGGACAAATGAGCATATGCAGGAGCCTCCACTGCTCTGATTTTTGCAGTCATCAATTTGGCATCAAGAACTCCTATCTTGCTTGGACTACCTTTCCTACTTTTTGTCTACAGAGGCATAAGGGGCTTTCAGCCTGAGAAGCAGTTGCATGTTTGGGTATTTTGCCCACCAGCCAAAGTTCTACAATGAAGCCATGAAATGTTATCAATAACTTCACTCCTATTGTTCCAGAACCAGGTAAATACAGTACCTAGGGACAGGATGAGCTCATTTAGTGATTCTTCTTTCATCTTACAAGAACCGAGTAAGTGGAGGCACTGCCAGAGAGAATATATTTTACATTTTGTATTCTTTCCATTTCAGTGGTCACTGAGGCCCAAGTGCTAAAAAAAACTAGTGTGGGCTTCAGCTTCCAGAGAAGAGCTTGCAGAGAAGTAATCCAAATGCCAAAGTATGTTTAAGAACTTCCTCCCCACATTTATACATAAGCATTGCGGAAAACACAACCAAAATGGAGTATCCCTCTGGTATTTAGCCTCCTGGCTGGTAGTGAGACCATGCTAGGTCTGCATACAGTTCCATCACAGCCCACATGTATCCTTCTCAAACAATGCTGATTATGCCAAGGAGAAGACAAATTATTCACCAGGTGAGATACAAGGTGTGGCCATTTTTTAACCTTCTTTATACTGCTAAAGATCTTTCACTGCCACCAGTTTATCTTATGAAACGTCAAAACCTATGTGGCAGGTGTGCTCCATACACAACTTTTCCCCTTGATTGACAGGGGCTGTTTGTCACAGTAGCTGTGAAAACTGAAAATACCTAACTGGGAAACACTAGGGCGATAGCTGTGTGCAAAGTTACTCTTTCTTAAATACTAATCCACCACCTTCCTTCTCTCTGAGCACATCTTAAGTAAACATCTAAATTAGTGAAACTGAGGTAACCAAATGTTATACAGGAAGCCCTGAACTCCCCTGAAAACTACTGTTCATGTCCTTGATACAACCCATATTACCTCTTTTATCTGTAAAAAATGTTATGTAAATAATGAAAAAGTAGTCAAATTAACCAAGAAAACATATACCATCTCTGTAAAAATGAATTTGTTTGGTAGAAATTTTATTTTATTTTGGGTAACACAAAAGACCAAACACAAAAATTAAATATAGACTATTGATTATACTTAAGAGCCTTTTATATGTTTCTGTAAATACTCATACAAGACTTGATTTGCATGCACTTGCAAAACCAATTGTGTTATAAAATAAAATTATACTAATCTCATCTCCTTATGCAACCCATTCAATGAGTAATCTTGTGATGAAAAAAGAAAGTAATTCCCAAGATCGCAAATGTCATAACCTAACTGTATTTTTATTTGATATTTATGCATATGAGTTGGGAATAGAAGTTGTATCCTTACATATTTTTCTGTTCTCAGTGCCCTAATAGAATGTAAAGAAATAAATGCAAACTTTAAAATTGGAAGTTGCTTCTTACT